ACTAATTTTTTTTCTCAATTAAACATAAATTTATTTTCTTTAGTATCGATTCTTTTTGCAGTTGAACAAAAATTTAAAATTGTATGTTACTTCACAAATTGGGGTAAATGATTTTATATTTCTATCATTTTGTATTTATTGAATTTTGTTTTAGCTATGAAACGTCCCGGTGGAGGTTCAATGACACCTGAAGATATTGATCCTTGTCTATGTACACATGTAATATATGCTTTTTCTGAAATGGATAATAATCAATTAACACCAATGGAAAAACATGATTTGAAAGATGGAAGTCAACCTGGTAGGTATCAATATTCAATATGAATAGATATTTTTATTCTATTTTTAAGGCTTTTTTGAACGATTTAATGCTTGGAAAAGTGTTAATAAAAATTTAAGAACTTTACTTGCTGTTGGTGGTTGGGTATGAAATTTCTAAAAGATAGACATTTATAGAATTGTTTTCTATTTATATAGGATATGGGAATGAAAGATTTTGCAGGTAATGTAACTACAAGATTATCTCACAAACAAAAGTTTCTCTCAGATCGATGATTTACTATTTTCTTTAGTCACATTAAACATGAGGATAGTACGCATATATTTCTATCACTCAGTTGTCAAATCGATGTATATATGATAGTGTTTACATTTATTTGATTTTTAGGTATTGTTAAATCTGAAAAAACAATGAAAAAATTTGCTGAATCAACAGTAAAATATTTACGAAAACATAAATTTGATGGTCTTGATCTTGGTAAGATCGTAAATAAAATACTTCACGATCAATTTAATTTATTTTTATTTAGATTTTGAATATCCCGGTAAGTATTACAATGAAATTAAGTAATTGATTGAATTATTTAAATATTAGGGGTTGATTGGAGAGATAGTCCGAGAGAAGATAAACAAAAATTTACAAAAATGTGTGAAGTTCGTTTAATAAACTCTTTTTTGATAAAATTTGCATCAATATTTTTCTTATTAGGTCTTATATGCAACATTCGAAAAAGAAGCAGAAACTAGTGGTAATGAACGTCTTCTTCTTACTGCGGCTGTATCAGCAGCAAAAGTTAATATTGATAAAGCATATGAAGTAGATAAACTTGTTCCGTAAGTTGAATTATTTTTCATTCACAAAAAGACGACAATATCGAAATCTTTTTCTTTAGAGTAATGGACTGGTATGTAAAATAAAAAAAAGGAGTTTAATTTCGATGACGTTCTTTTATTTATTACACAAAGGTTTAATTTAATGACTTATGATTTTCACGGAGCATGGGATCAAAATCGTGCTCATCATTCATCATTGAATAGTAAAGATAATGAAAAAGATGATACAATGTATATTGTATGTATCCGAATGTTTTCTTTTTTTACCATTAATTTATATTTAATATAGGATTTTGCTGTGAAATATTATCAAAAATTGGGTATGCCACCAAGTAAAATAATGTTAGGTATAGGAACATATGGACGAGGTGATACATCAGCTATGCCTTATACAGGATTTAAAGGTGAAAGTGGTTTTGTTGCATATTATGAAGTATAAATCTATTTCACAAAATTTTTTATTTTCAAATTAATTCAATTTTTTAGAGTTGTATTCAAATTATTTGTGAAAAAATGAAAGAAACATGGGATGCAAAACAACTTGTTCCATATATAGCTGGACCATATAATCAACCGAAAGCTGGTGTAGAAAATGTTCGTAGTATGAAATATAAAGTAAGAATATAATACAAGATAGATAAACTAAAAAAAAGTAAATTATGAATAGGCAAATTATATAAAACAAAATAATTTGGGTGGTGCGATGATATGGACACTTGATATGGATGATTTTCGTGGTCAATTTTGTTGTCAAGGAAAGTTTCCTCTTATAAAGACAATAAAAGCTGTTCTACATGGACAAGTTAAATTATTGCCAAAAGAAAAAATTTGTTCATCTTGTCCAACAAAAGAATATAAAGGTAGATAAGAAATGAAATGAAATCAGTTTTAAATATGTATATATTATAGATTTTAAACCTCAAACTCAATCACAAACAACAGAAAAAACAA